TTATATTTATTATAATTTTTAATAATTTAAAAAAAATAAAAAAAATAACCAAACGTATCTGTATGTATATAAAATAAAACCAGTACACATGGCAATGTAGTGTTGGCAAGGCTGGAGCAATGCACCCAGTATCGTCCGCGTGGGAGCGAAGCGGTGGTTGGTGAATTTTATATTTTTATTTAAGAGTGAGCGATATACATGATTTTGACTGAAGATACGAGCAGGGTAGGCGGAAAAATCCGCAACTGTAAGAAAAATCTGAAATCGAGTGAAACCTTGACGGATGGGTTTGATGGTTTTGAGTTTTCTTAAGGGTAAATGTAAAATTTAGTCTTAAACTTTTAATTTTAAACAATTTTAATCTCTAATTTATTTTTTACGCTTCTTTCATGGTTCAAGACTTCAAGTATGAAAAATACCTTCTTTTTTTTTTTTTATCTTTCTATCAATTTTTTCCGCTAAATGTGTACAATTGATATTTTTTTGGTCCCTGAGCTTTGTTTATGGTCTATTACAATCAAAATTTCGCTCTTGAAAATGATTTTGTTTTATGATATGAAATGAGTTTACTTTTTTTTTTTTACGCAATCAAAAATAACTATTTCTTTTCCATTAACTCAACCTATTTATATGTCATATAACTAAGATTTAAAATTTTTTATTCTCTTGAGAAGAAAATTATAATGAAACTACTTCAATAAGTAGCAATAAATGAGTTTTGCTGAAGGAAGGCAATACACATGTAATGTCATTTTCAAGAAAACATGCCGATTAATTATCGGAACGGTGGTCAATGAGTTAAGATCAAATGGTTGAAGATTTAGAGCTCCATAACATTGAAGTTTGTAGGTAATTTTACTTAAGGGAGTCACGGGTTTAAATCTTTTTATGAGTTGGATGTGGTCAGAACTAGTTGTTAAGATTAAATTAAAAGTAAGAATATTTTTATTTAAATTTAAAATCTTTTAATTACAGTATAAAGTATAAAGAAATTGTCATAAAATTATTTAGCTTCTTTTGCTTTTATTGATCAAATAAGAAAACAATTAATATCGTGGGTTTCGTTCAAACTTCAACTTCCAACATTACACGTACATATATGGCTGCCAAAGGTTGGGTCAACTTCTCAATTAATGGAGATCGGTGGTAGGCGGTAGGTCTTAGGTATGGCGAGCCACGCCGCCCATTTCAAACCGCGTAATTGCAACGTGCCTTTGTATGAACAAATGAATAATGGCACTTGCCACCAGTGTCAATGACCTAATTGTCTGCTATCATCTCTTTAGTTTTGGCTTTTGCATGTTAAGTGATTCGGCACTTATTCAAAAGATGCATGCATCCACCGATGGTTGTCAAAATCATGAGTTTCAAGTTTGCACGTAAAATTGAATGATTTTAAGATTTTAAGGCGTGTTATCAAAATCACATTATAAATCGTAAAATTGTCTGATTTTATGATTTTAAATATATATTTCGAATAAAATCTATATTAAAATCAGATTTTCATAAAATCAGGTAATAAGAACGTAAAATCGCAATTTAGCAGTAAAATTGTTTGAAATCTCGATTTTGCTTCCACAAAAATTGAAGAAAATGCTTCCAAAATCCGGACATAAAATTTGATCTCTGATCTTCTTTACTTGCTGGCCCTACTCATTTCTCAACCAAAGAAGGATAAAATCTGTTGGAAAAAAGGGAGTAGATGAGGAGAAAGAGAGCCTGAATGGAGGAGAAATGGTAGAAATGAGGGAAAATTAGAGCGGAGAAACCAAGGAAGCCGAAGGACTGCTCACTGCTCAAGCAAAGAAGTTGCTGGCCCTACTCATTGCTCAAGTAAAGAAGGATAAAATCTGTTGGAAAAAAAGAGAGTAGACGAGGAGAAAGAGAGCTTGAATGGAGGAGAAATGGTAGAAATGAGGGAAAATTACAGCGGATAAACCACGGAAGCCGAAGGGATTAAGGGATGGAGGGGTGGGTATCAATTTTAGTGGGGATTATGTTGACACGTGTGGGTGTGGGATTGGATGTTTGTTTTTTTATATATATATTTTAAAATTTTTGGATAAAAAGGATAGCTAGGTAGGTGTAATTTAATTTAAACAATAATTTTTTTAAAGGTTTTTTATTTTTAAAATTTTATATTAT